TCCATCCACCTACAATCCATCCATCCATCCATCCATCCATCCATCCATCCATCCATCCATCCATCCATCCACCTACAATCCATCCATCCATCCATCCATCCATCCATCCATCCATCCATCCATCCATCCATCCATCCACCTACAATCCATCCAGCCATCCATCCATCCATCCATCCATCCATCCATCCATCCATACATACATACATCCATCCATCCACCTACCATCCATCCATCCATCCATCCATCCATCCATCCATCCATCCATCCAACCATCCATCCATCCACCTACAATCCATCCATCCATCCATCCATCCACCTACAATCCATCCATCCATCCATCCATCCATCCATCCATCCATCCATCCATCCAGCCAGCCAGCCATCCAGCCAGCCAGCCTCCAGTAATGTAAGTGTCTGTGTGTCTGTTAGCAAAATATCTCACAAACCACTGGATGGATTACAATGAAAACCTCAAAAAGTGGTAATTGGCTGTACTTCCACAACTGATTAACTTTCTGAGTTAATTTAGTTTGAGATAGCCGCCACGGCTAACCGACTTTGACTAACAATAAAATTGCTATAACTCAATCAATTTTACTAATTTCAATTCGAAGTCTGGTGCGTTTATAGCTGAGACTGATCACATACAGTATAATGAGCGCTAACAGATCACACAACCTTTTTTTTTTTTAAGTTCGGCCATTAACTATTTGGAGTCAGCTTTGTCGGTTAGTGAAAAATATGAGTGAATCAACATTGAAATATGGTGAGGTATCAACATTCATCAATGTTGAAATTATACAGAAAGTGTCAGAGAACTTGCATGTTGAAACAATGTTAGGTTTTCAACCATAACTGATTCGTTATCTACGGAGCTCGCCAGGGGTCAGTGGTGAAAAAAGAAAAACATCCGCCGGAAATCCGTGCGCACGGATTGCTAAACTGAGAGCACAGTTTAGTAATCCATGTGCACAGTTTAGTAATCCATGTGCACAGTTTAGTAATCCGTGCGCTCAGTTTAGTAATCCGTGCGCACAGTTTAGTAATCCATGTGCACAGTTTAGTAATCCGTTCGCTCAGTTTAGTAATCCATGTGCACAGTTTAGTAATCCATGTGCACAGTTTAGTAATCCATGTGCACAGTTTAGTAATCCGTGCGCTCAGTTTAGTAATCCGTGCGCACAGTTTAGTAATCCATGTGCACAGTTTAGTAATCCGTTCGCTCAGTTTAGTAATCCATGTGCAGTTTAGTAATCCGTGTGCTCAGTTTAGTAATCCGTTCGGTCAGTTTAGTAATCCATGTGCACAGTTTAGTAATCCGTGTGCTCAGTTTAGTAATCCGTGCACACAGTTTAGTAATCCGTTCGCTCAGTTTTGTAATCCATGTGCACAGTTTAGTAATCCGTGCGCACAGTTTAGCAATCCATGCACACTGATTTCCAGCGGCTGTTTTTTTTCTCCCACTGACCCCCGGCGGGCTCCGTAGTTATCAATGTTGATTCAACCTCTTTTCCTCCTCTCCTTTCTCTGCCTAGAGAGGGGAGGAGGAGGGGTGAGACAAACAGCATACTATGTTGGCATTTCAATTATTAGAATTCCACAATGAAATAACATCGATTCAATAACATCTTTTCAACACTGGTTAGTAGTTTCAATTGGATGATTGTTTGATTCACCATCAATCATCGACCTTAACCAAAAAAAACAACTTTTCTGACCATAATTCAACGTTGAATTAACATCTTTTGCTATCTGCATGGTTTGCAATTACACTTTCAGGAAATAATCACTGATACAACTGATTCACTTTTAAAGCCAACTCCATTCAAAATCGTTACAACTGCAGAGTAA